AAATTTTGCCATATGTTGTAACTAGTTATTTGTTAAGTGGGTAGTGTCTAAAAATGAATTATCCCAAGCATTTTTGTTCCAAATTAAAAAAATAAAATGTATTTATTTAGCGAATATTAAACATAATATGCTTACACAAAAATCAAACATTATCACTACCATTTTCTAGAGTAGGAAGCTCCATCCATTGTTTATAGAAACACTTGTTTTATTTTGTATTTAAGCGGCGGCGGCGAACTGTTTCCTTGCGCGACACATTATACTTGCCCCTGAAAACCATCGTTTATTAATTAAACACACAACTTTAATAGAGCAACTGAGGGCCAACTCCCTCTCGCTGTCTCTTACAACTAAAATATATGTCCGGTATGATATCTTGGCCGGATATTCTGTATTATAACTATGTGTAGGCGAGGAGTAGAGGGGTTCGTACGTAGCACATGCAAGTAGGTTTGTATTATGTAATAAATATGAATAAAGTTCTATTTTGGATTTGAACGTGGTCCGTGGGAATTACATAGGAGGTTATCAAATATCTGTAGTGCCAAACAAAGCAATATAGGCTAAATTAAATTTAATAAAACTTTAATAGAGCAACTGAGGGCCAACTCCCTCTCGCTGTCTCTTACAACTAAAATATATGTACAGTTACAGTATAGCCGGGGATCTATCCCCACAATTTGCTCTTCGAGCCACATTTAAGTTCACTTAACTATATTACAACATTTCTTTCAGCAGCCTGTATTGCCCGTTCATCAGCTTCCTTCCTTGAAAGCACTGCCGTTATGAAGTTGGCAACAGCGTTCCACTTTTTCCTCTTCTTTATCATCCCTTCTAGCATTCTCTTCGGGGTGATGGCACGGCCAAGTTCCACTTCGAGCTCAAGTCTCTGTCTCCACCACCCGTCGCAGTCTATGAAGGTGTGTTCCGTGTTCCACATCGTCCTGTGGGTGACCGCAATACATGCACACTGCATCGTCACGTTTCTTATACTTGTGAAGGTATGCATTAAAGCAAAAGTGCCCCGTTAGAAATTGCGTCACGTGGTAGTTTATGGATCCCCGTTTTCTGTCAATCCAGGCTTGAATGTTAGGTACCAACCGATACGTCCTACGTCCATTGCCCACTACGACCTATTCGTGTTGCCAATTGTTCATCGTCCGGAATCATCATCAGACTCCTGTTTAGTGTTTTCTGGTGTTGCACCAATTTTCACAGCTGCCTCGATCTCCGCCCTTTTGACAGCCAGCAGGTGAATCGGCACTGTGCGCCAGTCATCATAATTATGGAATTGTTATACACCGTGCAGTAGGCGCAAGCTTCACGTAGGGCCATCTTCCTCTGCGGGGAGGACAGTTTGGCCTTGTATTTCTCATTACGAAGCGAGCCGTGCCAAATAAGCGGGGCATACAGCAGCCGAGAGTGGACCACTGTGGATAGTGACTTTATTTTTTCTGCAGACGGACCTCCGACTTTTGGCATCAGCCGTGTAAATATACCTAACATAACCTATGTTCATTAGGTACATGTTGTAACTTGTAATACTAAGCTATAATAATAAAGTTATTTTTATTGATCTCAAATACAACGAGTATTAAAGGAGTATTAAAGGAGCTGGTTTAAAGCTTTGAGTGTAGTTTTCTTCTCTTTATGCATAACATAGCAAATTATACATGAAGCAGAATTCGATTTACACTGATATTTTTAATATTAGAGTGAATTAAACTCAAAATATCTCTCGAGGTACACTCATTTAAATGTATAAGAGTGTTGATTTATTTTAATTGTATTCAAATTTCAAACCTTAAATATAAACAGAACATTTTTTATGAAGCTATAACTTAAAATATCTGCACATTTTCGTGATTTCTACAAATATTGTCAATATTCTAAACTGTTATTTTTATTAGAGTTACTGGGTAACACTAAAACTAAAATCCATATTTTTATCGTTAATCAATTTTGAGTAAAAACTCCCGTCTTTCCTTATTTTTTTTTTTTTGTTTTTCAAGGTTCTTTTTATAAAGTTGACTAGAATACCTACCTTATCGGAGCCCCACCAATAGTGATTCGTTGTGGTACAAATTTAACACATTTTGCACGGTAACATAATATTACGTATTTACGTAAGTAAATAATAGTTACATTTTTCTTTTGTAGTTTTAACCACATGTTAAAATATTTGAACGCACATAAAAACCCGGAAAATAATTGATTATTATTGAATATTATACATAACTGTTACAACCGATTTTGAATAAACCGATTTTGTTGGTTTTTGATTTTTTGGTGTAACTATAATAATATACACATTACATTTTCAAGGAAGATTTTTAATCTTTATCCACCTTATTTTTTGCAAGTGCTTGGAAATAGTTTGATTTAAAAGTTATAGCATTTTTAATGTAGACATTTTATTTTTTTTCTATCAAAAGAAAGAATTTTAACAAAATCAATACATTAATCGATCTGCTCAGAACTTAAAATATTATCTGGGGCTAGTTCGTGATTTTTTCAATAATATATATTGCAATATCTATGCCGCAATGGGTTACAATCAGGTCTTACATTAAAAAAAGAAAATAATTCGTTTTAGGTGTGTGACATTTTGGCCTTATAGAATAAATATTTATACCAAATACAGTATGTACAAATTAAATGCATATTTATTGTCCCAAAATATGATAGCAGACACACACAAAAAAAACACTCACATCATTCTAAAACGAATACATTAATCGCTCCGCTCAGAACTTAAAATATTATCTATTGCATTTTCGAGATTTTAAAAAATGTTGTCATGTGCTGTGACCAGTTATTTGTTAAGTTGGTAGTGTCTAAAGATGAATTATCAATAGCAATTTTGTTCCAAATTAAAAAACTAAAATGTATTAATTTAGTGAATATTGAACATAATATGCTTACACAAAAATCAAACATTATTCACTACCATTTTCTAGAGTAGGAAGTTCATTCCATTGTTTATAGAAACACTTGTTTTATTTTGTATTTGCTCAATAACCTTTTAAATACTATAACTAGACATAATTTTATACTATTCTTTCAATTGTATTCAACGCTGTTAATATTATTGATACAGAAATGGTCAAAAATATTAATATGTTAACTGTTATTTTTATAATTAGTTGTATTAGTAATATAATATGGGCTGGAGGTGAGTACTTACATTTTTATTTTATTTTTTATTCATACGATAGATCACAGATTAATGTTTATGGAGAAAAATAGGAAGAAAATACATAATTGTTACAGAAATTCATAAAATGACTGTTAAAAAATAAAAGTAAAATAATTTAATAGAATAAGATTATACGAACATACATAACAACTATTTAATTGAGTTATACATGAGATAGAGCGCGTCTGTTTGTGTCGGTAGGTGTATATTAGTTATCGGCTCCAACACTCATCTTTCGAAAAATAAAACTATTTTAGTAACCATTATAATTATTTCAGATAAAAATACAGAGTATCCCGAGAAGATTTATCCATTGCGATATCTCCTGAGACAATAAATATATCATAAAACTGTTTTTTTTTTTTTATTTGACTCACAGCGAGGATTACACATTTTATTTTATTTTTTGGTAAAAAAGTTTAAAAAGTAATTTTTTTATATTTTCATTATTGATACAATTGAAGATAATTATTTTTGTGAACATTTTGACTTTTTAACATTTTATTTTCTTTAATCTCATGATTTTTAATAATTTTGTTAGCTTATGGGTAAAACAGCCAAAACCTTAAGATATTAGTGTTGTATTTAAATTAAATAACTCAGATCAATTCAATCTTATATTAAATCTAACATCTTAATATTGATTTTGCTGAACACAAACTTAAGTATCTGTGTTATATTACGTTTGAAATTGGGCTTTACGTACTAAGTCCTCCTTAAAGCCAACCATTTCAAAACATCATAATTGTTGAAACGTAACATATTTTTTTTAATGATCATTAATATTATTTTGAATCAAGATCTAGAAGATTGTGTCAGTAAGTATAATTATTATATTTTACGATAGGTAAATATTATAAATTATATTCGTTGTTATTTAAAATATCATTACAGACCAAATGGTTGCAAAAGGTTTAATGAAAAAATTAACTCAAGGCAAGTATTTAATATTTTAAATCTTTGGATATCAAAACAATTTTTGATAGAATGTCACTCACTATTTATACCTAATGGTGTTATAATATTCTTTTAAATATAAATACGATACATTGAATAATAAAAAAGCCAACGATACACGTCATGCAGATTTCGGCTGATAGATTTTATCGTGTGATGTGTGATTTATACTTAATCTTAAACAATAATAAATGTACTAATTATAATTTAGAGTCATATACCGATGCAGAAGGTTGGGAAGAGGTAGCTGGACGTTTACGTTAGTTAACATTCGTTTTTATAATATTGTATTTAAATATTAAATCATAGGTTTATATATATGTCATACATTTAGGTTTTTTTGCATCAGCGCTAATCGAAATCAAATAATTATTTTAAATACGTAATTTTATAAGGACAATTATAGATAGACCATAAAATATTTAAAATATTATATTGTATTTATGTTTTATTACTTGTATAAATTGTTCAGGTCTTGGAAAGAAAAAGGTCAAAAGTAAGTAAATAATTGTTGTCAATGTTCTATGATGATTGAAAATATTGTTTTTCCATAAAATAAATGTTTAAATTGTAAAAAGTTTATACCTAATTAATGTATAATATTTATTACTATATTCATCTAAATAAAATAAAGTTTTGCTCAATAAAGTAATAATAATAACCTACCCCAGTTACGTGTGCACACCCGACCGAGCAACACGGGCTTATTGTTATCGCGCTCTCGCATTTATACCTCTCGTAAGCGTACTGAAGTTCTACGTGTGTACAGGTAATATGAATAAATATTTAACCGTTGATCCATTTTCACATTTTAACATTATAAATTAATAAAACACCCAAAAAAATGGGTGAACCACATACCAAAACTAATAGGCTTATTGAAAAACGTATTGCCTCATCTAAAGTTCCAACTAACAAACAAAATGTCCCAACAATATCTAAAACCGGGCCCTCCGTTGTCATAGCAGATAACCTGACTAATGAGCCTACATCATCTCAACACTCCGATAGTGGCTACAACAGTGACGCAATTAAAACCACCGATATAAATATTTCTAATCACGATTCCATCAACAAGACCAACCATATACAGAGAATGCATAATATCAATTCCTCGTCGCATCAAAACACCAACAATGAACCAGAAAAATACGCTGTTGGAAAAAAATCTTTCGCCGAAACCACTCTCGACTCTACGACTACCCAAAAAGTACACGCAATAGTCTTTGATTCAATCGACAACATAAACATTGAATACATAATTGCAATTAGCAAATTAACTCCACCAAAAAACATAAAATTTGCTTTGCGGATAACCAACAACCAATTCTGTATATATCTCAATGACAAAAACACGGTTGATTTTCTTGTAGATAACCATCCCAACATCATAATAAACTCACATACGACGATCAAAATTAGACGGTTAACAAATCCGGCTAAAAGAATAATCATATCTCATGTCTCACCCGATATATCAAACGAATATATTATATCACACTTAGAACCCACATAAAATCCAAATATTATCACCAATTACACATATCAATGCGGGATTCAACATCCCAGAACTAGCTCATATCATAAGCTTCAGACGCCAAGTTTACATCAAACCCGATGACTTCGAAAAACTACCAAAATCCATACTGATCAAAATCGAAAATACATCTCACAGAATATTCTTGGGCGACGACTCGATTCACTGTTTCCTATGCAAACGCAAAGGTCACACAACAAAACAATGCAAAAACACACCAGCAGAAGCCACAAATACAAATAAAAATGAAAACTTATGCAATAGGTTCGCAGATACAAATGTTGACACCTTTACAAACAGCATCTCATAAACCTCAACTCAAATGTCCTTCCTCGAGGACCCATTCCCGATAGAAACAACATCAAATTTCATCATATTATTGACTCCAAATACAACTGATATTAAAAAAAGACCCGCACTCTCTTCAACTTCATCAAACCTAACTAACGATCCGACTACCTCCAAATCCCCTTCTCAAGTTAATATATTAAAAGAAACTATTTCTAAACCAAATACGATCAAAATATCGAAACCAGCAACCAAAAAATTAAAACGTAATCAATCTATAGAAAATATAGTCTTAAAGCTCGATGAAATTCTAGAACCCACCAAACCCAAGTTTGAAGAATTGTCCAACAAAAAAATTAATTATGAACAGTTTAAGTTCATAATTGAAAACTCTCTCAGCGTATCCAACCCAGCTTCAATTTTAGATGATTTTAACATTACATATCTGGAAATGATCGAGGTCATAGAAAAAATCAAGCCTACAATCAATACTCCAGGCATAAAAAACAGATTGACGTGACTTTGTAATTCTCTCCTCGATAAAGCGTTGTCCACAAAGCCCACCCAATCTGAATAAAAATAACAATTAATAATACGAAGCCACACAAACATCGAAGCGATAGTGGCAACATTTAAGTTAACAAATAAAATAAAATAAAAAGTAATGAAAATATTGCAATGGAACATGAATAGCTTCTATAAAAAGCTAGACGAACTTAAGATTCTAATATCTGATATCTCACCTGATATAATTTGTCTCCAAGAAACTAATTTCACAGATTTAAATGCCACTAAACTCCCTTATTTCAATGAATATGGTAAATTCAGAACCTCCGGACTCAGAGCCAATGGCGGAGTAACAATATACATTAGTTCTCTATACCCCTCCAAACAAATCTTTATATCAACTCATCTTGAAGCAATAGCAGCACCAGTAAAACTTAATGATATAGAAGTTAATTTATGCAATATATACCTCCCCAACCAACATACCTTATCGGAAAAAGACCTCGAAAATATAATTAAGCAACTACCTAAGCACTTCATTATAACAGGCGACTTCAACAGTCACAATATTATATGGGATATAAATACATATAAAATACAGACAATAGAGGAAAAGAAATAGAAAAACTCCTAGAAAGCAAAAACTTGGTACTACTTAACAGTATGGAACCTACGCGCATAAACCCAATTAACGGTAACCTTTCAAACATTGACCTGACATTTTCAAATGCCTCACTCGCTCAAAGACTTGACTGGTCGGTATCAAACAATATTACCAGCAGTGATCACTTCCCTATTGTCATACAACTCGTAACCCGTCATAATGACAGCACCCCCAAACTCGAGAGATGGAACTTGAAAAACCCTGATTGGCCCCCTTTTTTCCCAATTGCTCGAAGACAAAATAACTAATATAAATTTATCTGAGATCAAAAACACTGAAGAACTTGTCGACGAATTCACAGAATCAATAATCTCATCTGCTAATTTAAGTATAGGAATATCAAAATCCAATACTCCAAAACCAAAAGTCCCTTGGTGGAATCTAGACATTAAAAAAGCAATTAAGGACAAAAATGATGCACTTAAAAAATTCCAAAAAACTAATAATCAGAAGGACTTCATCCAACTTAAACAGCTAAGAGCTAAATCAAAGTTTTTGATAAAATCAAGCAAAAAGTTTACATGGGAAAAATTCACTAGTATCATCAATGAAAAAACCGACTCCAAACTAGTTTGGAATAAAATCCAATCACTTAAAGGACTCCGTCGACTCCGAAAAATTAATCTAATCAACACCAACACAAATCTATTATTAAACAACATCGATCAAATTTCCAACAACCTAGGAGAATATTTTTACAACAACAGCAGCGATAATAACTATAAACCCAACTTCCTAGCTCATAAAGATAAATGCGAGAAAGAAGTTATAATTAATACTGCCAATCAAAACCATGCAGATCAAATCCTCATTAACAAGCCAATTAACCTACAAGAAATAACGAATATGCTAAAAAAATGCAAAAGGAACAGTCCTGGACCCGACTCCATCCCTTACTCGTTCATTCAAAATTTTAGCATTAAAACCCTCGAATTTCTCCTAAGTATATATAATCGGATATGGAATGAGGGACACTGGCCAAAAAATGGAAAGCAGTGACCATAATACCAATACTCAAACCCGAAAAAAACCAATTTAAAACCGAGGGATATAGACCCATCACTCTTCTTAATACCATGTGCAAACTATTTGAAAAAATAATAAATCACAGACTCTCATGGTTTCTAGAGAAAATATCTTTTTTCTCCCCAAAACAAAATGGTTTTAGGAAAAATAGATGCACTATGGATAGCCTACACGAAATTAACGAAGAAATCAAACTAACATTAGAAAACAAGCAAATCATGGGCGTAATTAACTTAGATATAGCCAAAGCATATGACACAACTTGGAGGCATAACATTATTACCAAACTAAACACAACCTTATGCCAAGGTAGACTGCTCAACATTATAACCAACTTTACCTCAAACCGAAAATTCCAAGTAAAAGCCAATAACCACTTATCCAGGGAATTCACCCAAGAAAATGGAGTTCCACAAGGTTCTGCTCTTTCAGTAACACTTTTCCTGATTGCAATTAATGACATCACCCAAAACTGCAGCCCTCCAGTAAAATGCAACTTATTCGCCGACAACTTCAACTACTGGTGCAGGAGCAACAAAGTCGAAACTGTTCAAAATTTTCTACAAATAACCTCCAACAACTTAGAAAAATGGGCAAACAAAACCGGATTCAACTTCTCTCCTGAGAAGTCCTCTTGTTCATCTTTTACAAAAAAAAAGAGTCAATGACCTAGTTATTAAACTAAACGATACCCCAATTGCCAACTAATAGATACAGTTAATAATAGCGGACTAAGACTAGCAATAGGAGCCTTCCGGAGCAGCCCTACACTCAGCATTTATAACATAGCCGGCATACCCCCTGCTTCACTGAGAAGAATAGAGCTATCCATTAAAAACATCGCTAGACTTGCTAGTCGCAACGGAGTCAAATACAGTAACATAAACAACGACATTGTTAAGCTGACCAATGAAATCGAATTCTCCTCAGTCCAAATCATCCCTCATGAATCGTACATAGCCCCCCCCCCCCTTGGGAAAACAATTATCAAACCAATACCGAGCTAAGCGCATTATCCAAACTAAACACAGCCCCCGAGATATTTAAAAGACACTTTCAAGGAATCCTGGATGACTTCAAGAACTTTCAAAAAATTTATACCGACGCCTCAAAGTCATGCAATGGGGTTGGAATTGCAATCATACTTGAAAATCAAAAATTAACTTTCAAGCTTCCCAATGATTGTTCAATATTTTCTGCGGAATCTCTGGCAATTCTAAAAGCCATAGAAGTAATAAACACCTCACCACACACCAAGTTTTTAACTCTTAGTGATTCCCTCAGCGCCATAAACAGTGTTAAAAACAAAACCGACCCCGGTGACATTGCCATCCTTATCCAAAATAAAATTGACGAAGCTAAATAAAAAAAAAACAAATTATACTAACATAGATTCCAGGGCATACCGGTATCTCAGGTAACGAAACTTCGGATACATATGCTAATATGGCCATCTTTGACATGAACACGCCATCACTAGACTTCATCACCTACGATGACTTTAAAAACTCATTGAAAACATATATTAGAAAAAAATGGCACATATCTTGGAATAGTCAGAATACGAAATTAAACCAGATCAAGTCAACAACTTTCAGATGGGATAATCAAACCTCAATCGAAAAGAAGAAACCGCCTTAAATCGTTTAAGAATAGGACGTACTAGACTTACCCACGGATATCTCATGTCTAATGACTAACCCCCCTTCTGTGAAGCCTGCGGCCAACACCTCACCGTCAAACACATCTTGACTGAATGTCATGTTTACGTCCAAGACCTCAATTTGACCGAAACCCTCGACTCAACTCTCGGACCACAACCTGATCAGAACGAAAAAACGCTTAATTTTCTTAAACTAACTAATTTAATTAACAAAATATAATTGTATCAATGAACCCTATGTATATTATCTAAATCGTTATTAAGAATTGTGAACAATGGCCTTTGCTGCAAAGTTGTTTTAAGATCAATAAAAAAAAATTAAAAAATTAAAAAAAAACCTACCAGAAGCTAATGCATATTATTTCAGGTCATGTGCGTTCATTTCTGGATCAAAATTCTCTTAATGGTAATAATTACTAGACTGCAATATATAATACATAAATCTAGCACAGAATATAATATTTTATATTTAATAAAAATATTCCTAAAGTATTAATAATATTGGTTCTATAGTTATATCTAATATAGAAAAACTGATTTAAGTCAAACGTTTTTATTTTTTAGCATCACACACCCCAGTTCAACATTGTACAAATGTCGGGGAATCGGTAGGTTATTTCAATACCGGCTGGGTAAACGGACAATTTTTAATACCTATCTATTGTTTGAGTTCCATACCAAGGACACTTTGTACGATATAAATAAACCAGGAAACATATTTTACAAGATGAGATAAAATTAAATAGCTCAAAACATTAGATCGCGAATCGTGATCGCAATCAGTATGAGACATTGAGACATAAGTTTGGTCACAAAGTACCTACACTCCATACACTAAAATACAAAATGATCCTAAACCATTTACTAAACTAAATCCAAAAGTCTTTAAATATGTATATGAATATACTAGTTTAAGAATAAATATCTATAATAATAAAATAATTACAAATACACAATTACTTGAAATAATTTGCCATACTTTAAATTATTTTATTTCAATGTCATTATGACCAAGTCTCGAGACTTAAAGTATTTGCTTATTTTTATGGATTGACTTGAAATGTAGCAGAGTACTATGGAAAAGTATGCCATGTTACAACAAGTTAAATTATGAAATTTGAATGTGCTTTTTGCAACGATTTAAAAAAAAATGCTTATTACTAGTTTTTCTGATTATTTTTTCTTTTTTTTACCAGTTTTCCTACTATGATTTTCTCTTGCAAAGTTGTTTTTGATAGAATTAAAATTAAAATTAAAAATAATTCTTATCTTTTCTACGTTATCAAGTAGGCCATCGCCATCCACGTTTGATTTTTTTTCTAATATTAAGATTTTTTATTTTTTAGTTAATCATAATTTTTAGAACAGTTATACAAATTATGTCTAGTACTTTATCATGTCGAATGAAAGTTTTTTTCCTTTTGATAAATATTTGTGCTTAAATGTAAGTTTTTTAAACGCTTATTTGAGTGCTTATAATGTTGTTTTTAATGATTTTAAGAGCTATAAGTACCGATCCCTGATTATGACTTATAATTAACAGTGGATTTTTTAAAATATAAAAAACATAGCTTGAATTTATTATCATAACTATTATTATTATTGTTTTTGTGTGTTAACTACATGTTTTTTTGTAATAACAAATAATGTGATATGTAAA